CTCTCTCTCTCTCTCTCTCTCTCTCTCTCTCTCTCTCTCTCTCTCTCTCTCTCTCTCTCTCTCTCTCAACAGCTTCTATAAACAAAGACCATGATGATCGTCTCGTATTCATATAATCCTATATCTGGCTGCCACACCTAAACCTAAAACCACCAAGAGATCTGACAACATAAACTGACACTATTTTTAGTAACAATGGTTTGACTCTGCAACTAAATCGAAAGTTCTAAAGCATTTTACTTAGTATATAACCATCTCAAATCTAAAAACTGATCAATTTGGTATAAGCAAAGGAAGAAAGTTATGGAATTTACAAACAGAAAGTCAAATCCACCTTGTTTCTGAGCATATCGCAGAATAAATTCGAAATAGATATGATGCAAACAAAGAGAAAAGTGGTAAGTTTACACAGATGATCTGGACGAAGAAGAAACGTGAGCAGCGTTAGCTTTCAAATCGGCCCGGAGGATGAAGCTGAAGACGTTACGGTGAGCTCGACAATATGCTTTTTTTGTCACGAAAACTCAACAGTGTGATTGAGTTCAAGAACTTACGGCTGCAACTCTGAAAACATAGAAGGGTAGGAGACGACTAAACCTAATTTGTCTGGACTTTTTCTATTAGACGGTTTTGATGTGGAGCAAGAAAAGAAGTAGTAGAAATTATAGAATGAGAAATTATGGAAGGTGAAAGGAAATTAGGAAAAAGGGATTAAAGGAAAATAATGAAGAAGAAATTAAAGCTGAGGTTTGATTACATAGAAGAAGAGGAAACGGAGATAGAGGAAGACAAAGTTGAAAAGACCACGCTTTGTCTGGGCCAAAGTTAAAACAAATGCCCATAGCTTCTGAGCACAATTACAATGACGACCCAATATACCGAAACCCAACAGAAATAACTCATTTTGATTGGTCGATTATTTATGCTTACGTGACATACCTTATATGCTCTTATTTAGAGTTTTTAATAGTGTAAGAAGGGATTAAAGCTGAGGTTTGATTACAAAGAAGAATAGGAAACGGAGATCGAGGAAAACGAAGTTGAAAAGACCACGCTTTGTCTGGGCCAGAGTTAAAACAAATGCTCATAGTTTCTGAGCATAATTACAATGACGGCCCAATATACCGAAGTTCAACATAAATAACTCATTTTGATTGGTCGATTATTTATGCTTATGTGGCATACCTCATATGCTCTTATTTAGAGATTTTAATAGTGTAAGCTGAGGTTTGATTACAAAGAAGAATAGGAAACGGAGATCGAGGAAAACGAAGTTGAAAAGACCACGCTTTGTCTAGGCCAGAGTTAAAACAAATGCTCATAGTTTCTGAGTATAATTACAGTGACGGCCCAATATACCGAAGTTCAACAGAAATAACTCATTTTGATTGGTCGATTATTTATGCTTATGTGGCATACCTCATATGCTCTTATTTAGAGCTTTTAATAGTGTAAGATTAAGAGATGTTCAAAAGTCTAAATAACTGAAATAGTGTCGCCATAATTGTTGTATATTGCAGCTGAATCCCTAATGTTTATTAACGAACTTATAAAGCCAAATCGTTCTCATTATTAGATTAAAAAAGTTGCCAAGGTCCTGTTACTATGTCCATGAGACCATGACAACAACAATATCAAATTTTAAACAATAGCTATTTCAAACTAAATAAAACTGAATATGAAAGATGAGTTACAGAAATCACTACCTTTTAGTCGGTTGTTTAAGACGACTGCATTATTAAAGAAAAAGGAAGGGAACATGTAATGTGAAAGCCGGCAATGCACAATTGTGGCGACATTATGAAACTTGGGAATAACTGAAAGAAGAGAGAAGATATTAAACAAATTTTGACTATAAATAGATCACCGAACCTGTGGATTTGTATCATCAAAGTTAAGTTTATTGAAAAGAAAATGGCAAAGAACTTCAACTCTGTCAGCTTCAGTATTCTCGTGCTTGTTCTCATGATGGCTTCTACCGGTAATTAAGTTATCTCGATTATCCTTTTCAGTTGTATTTTAGTTATCCTGGCGCTGCTGATCTTGATGAATATGTCAACAGGAATCTTCAAGAGCAAGGCTTTGGCTGGGGTGGAGTGCCCAATGGGAAGTGGATGCCATGACCCCCATTACCGTCAGTTCTTTGGCAGTTGTGGCATGATCCCGTTCACAGGTTCAGATTCGGATTGTTGTGCATGCTGCACTAACTTATACGGTACTCCTCCAATCTGTTGGGCGGCTGTTGAGGGAACCACTCCGGAATGCAATTGCTACGACAAGGCGATTTGAAATTACATCCTATAGATACATAAATACATTCAATGTGAGGAGCACATGGCGTGTGTTTGTTTATGTTCAAGGTTTTTTTTTTTTTCCATTTTGTTTCCAAATAAAACATCAAGGGCAAAACTTATCACTTATTGCCCCTTTAAGTTTAAGCTCAAGTTGTGTGCACCTTTGCTCATTCTGAATATATGTAAAATACTTGTGTTTGTGCGCCTCAAGTTTAAACCGGTTTAAGCACATGGACAGGGTTCGAATTTTAATTTTGGATGATTCAAAATGGGTTTTAATTGTGGGTTCGTCTATTAAATATATCAACACACGGTTATGAATCTTATGATACATATATTTTAGTTTTATTTTAAAAGAAATATTTATGATTCGTGATGCTGTTTACTAAATAATATTAACTGTCCTTAGGAAAATAATTATAATATATCATATTTTCTGCTTCATTATATATAAAATTAAGAGGAATTACTAGGCACAGATGAAAAAAGTTTAAACTCAGCGCCATAAGTTCAGACACGGCAGTAGAACAATTTGAAATGTCTAATTAGAACCATCTCTATAATATTATTTGAGAAGTCACTTTCCTACGTGTCGCGCTCACGTTAACTCTCACACGATGGTTGATTACATAGATACCCTTAATGAATTATTTGATTTTAAGATTATCATTAATTTTTGATTTAGTTTCTTTTTTACTTTTTTTCCAAATAACATATATAATAAAAAGGAAATATTTCTAGAATTTTTAAAACAAATTTAAAAACGAAAATATATGTATGTAATATGACTTTATTTAAAAAGAAAGTTCACAAAATAGTAATACCCTCATTAATATATATTTTTAAATAACATAAAATATATTTTCAAAATAATAAAAATATATATGTTCATGAAGATTCAAAAACTTACCAGTTACACTTTATTTTCTAATATTCTTTAGAAATCAATATATGATTTGATAAATATTATGAAAATACATGTATATTTAAGCGATAAATAAACTAATTTGATTTGACTTAACTAAAATAAAGAGTAAATAAATATTATGAAAACACATGTATATTTAAGCGATAAATAAAACTAATTTGATTTGACTTAACTAAAATAAAAAGTAATTATACTTCAATTTTAATTTAAAAATATATTTAACTCAATATACTCCAAAATGAATGACTCGAATAATCTAATTTATATCCAAAATTAAACTACAATAAGAACATATAATGTTATAATAATAATAATAATAATAATAATAATAATAATAATAATAATAATAATAATAATAATCTATTTAATTTTATATATATAAATTAGAGGTTGACCCAAAGCATATTAAAAAGAAAAAAAATATTAACCAGTTACAATTTAATTCTTTTGTAGAGTTTATATATATGCATGAGACTTCAAAATATTATCATTATATTCATTTATGTAATTTTGAATCGAACACTTCAGTTTATTATTTATTTCATTTTAAGCACAATATATATTAAGTTATACATAATTTAAGTATAATATATTTACATATCTAAGACAATAACCAACTGAAATGAAAATAAGAAAATTAATCAAAGTTTTATTATATTTAGAATAAAAAATATTATAGCTGAACTCGAAAAACATATATTATCTAATATACCAAATTGATAACCAAACCTACTATTGATCCAAAAGATAATTAAATCGATAATAATATATCCAAAGTCATAAAATTTATTCAAAACTAAAATTAAATATCAGTCAATTATTATAAAATTTTACTTTTATGAATATTTATACCCGTGCATAAGCACGGAAAAATCACCTAGTATTATACTATATATTAAACTAGGAGTTAGTCCTGATTTTTCTGTAATTTTGAATTTAATTATATGTTTGGTATTTATATGTATATTTAAGGACATTATTTTCAGTTTCTTCATTTTTTATCTTGTAAATTTTTAAATATTTTTATTATCAAAAATTATAATAACTTTTTAATATTTTTATTATCAAAAATTATATGTAACATAGTGATCAAAATGAATAAAAACTAATTAAATCTTACTTATATTAATATTCTTTTATCTTACTTATCTAAGTTTTATGTAAAACAATTGTTAAAGGTGCCCGAATTAAAATTTATTTTGGCTTTAGAACCATTAAGTTCATACATTTCAACAGTATTACAACATTTATATTTGAAGTTCTATTGTCCAATCTGTCCAACATCCATTTTGATTTATGAGAAGCATTTTCCCACCTTACCAATCCCACTGAACATAACAACCACCTGTGTTACTGTGTATACAAAGAATGATAAATGTAAATCTTGGACACCAAAGAATAGATATAACAGGCTGTAAGATTTTCTCATCTCATGACACTACACTATAAAGTCAAGACCTTTCTCACTTGCAAGACCCAAAGAGCAAACTGCATCACCCAAAGCCTCACTTCCACAGAGAACCCTTCAAGCCAAACCTTCAACCACTGCACCAATGACTTCTTCTGTGACCACTTCGCTTCCATCACCGCTTCAGAAGACACTTTCCCAACGATCAAGAACGACTCAAGCGACGAACCTCTCACCAGCTCATTGTTAACAGACCTGAGACAGTCATTAGTCTTCAACATCAAAAGAATCACACGTGGCAACCTCCTCAGAAGCTCAGAGATTTGAGGGAAGTACTGTGAAGCATACATCTGTAGCTCTGACCTATCTTCCTTACTGCCTTGGATGACTAAATGATCCACAGATGTGTCAATAACTCGCTTCCACGGTCTCATTGTGAGAATCCCAGCGAAAAGAACGTAGAGATCATCTCCAGCTCCAAGCTTAGCACTGTGTTGTTTAATAGCGTTAGCATCTGAGAAGACTAAGGCTTTCCATAGTGAAGCGTAGTTGAATCTTGTGTTGAAGTCGAGCTCCTTGTACAAGCCATGGTCAAGAAGCACTAGCTGTGGCTTTTGCTTGCCGTATATATTTCTTTTACCAGAAGGACGAATAATCAAATTGGCAGCGTGTGGATCACAATGCACAAAGCCATGTTTGAACATCATTTCTGCAAATGTTTGACTCACCTGCAAAGAAGAGGAGGCTAGTATATATCAAATGAAATTCAAGATATAGTATTGAAAGATCAAAAAGCTTACTAGCTTTGATACTTCATAGGGCTGGATCCCAAGCTTTTTGATCTTAGCTACATCATTGACTTGAGCACCATCTATGAACTCCATAGTCAACAGCTTAGAGGAGCTCAAGTTCCAATAGACTGTTGGTGCATAAACATACTGTGCAATATGGGGAGATAGCTTCCTGAAATTATCCAGACATTTCTCACTGTTTTTCGCCTCTACCAAAAAATCTAGTTCCTGATCAAAGAATAAATTTATTAAAAAAAAAAACAGAACAGAAACAAACAATTAAAACATCAAACCAGTGACAGAAAAAAAAATTTATGACCATTTACAATGCTTCAGGCTAGACAGTGAATCAAACACACTGATTAATAGTGAAAACCATTAGAAGATGCATAACGAAGCTGACTATCTTATGTTATGAATCAGATAAAGAGACTAACCTTTGGTAAGCTTTCACTCATTTCATCTAGTAACCACCTGTGTACATGAGCTAGCAGTATAAGCTGTTGTAAGAGACATGAACTACGAACTGTGTCTAGAAGAGATGAGAAAGAGACAACACCTGTAATCAAATGATGGGAAGATCCTGTGCAAGGTGTTCACTATAACTCCAACAGCTGCAGTATCTGCTGCTGCAGTGTCCGTCATGTGCGCATGCTGAACCTGAAGAAAATAGGTTCATGATAACAAATAGAGTGAGTACAAAAAACACTCTTAACAAGTTCAAGATCTTTAAGGATTTGTAAAACGACTAGTTGCTTGGCATCATATAACGGTATAAGTAGTTCCATAGAGGACCTTGACAGCGACTTTTTCCCCGTTATGGGTGCGAGCAACATGAACTTGAGCAAGGGAAGCACTTGCAATAGGAACAGGGTCAAATTCAGCAAACACCTGCAGATAAAAAATACCATAGTCAAATTAAAAACCAAAGAGATGCATTCATAAGTGAAGCGCTAGGTATGGATAAGAGCGGTGGTTACTTTGTCTGGTGTCTCTCCAACCTCTTTCTTGAAAACCTCACATACTTGCTCATATGAAGAAACAGGACATTTGTTCAACATAGACTCCCTCATAGTATGAACATACTCCTCAGGCACAAGATAGTCCTTGAAACATTAAAGCAAAAAAAAACCTTAACATAAAAAAAATTTACATAACAAGAGTGCTCCTAAAGAGCATAGCTTTTTACATACTAATTGTCCAATATGCTGGCCGAGTTTGATATAGATTCCTCCATTTTTGAAACAGAGCTCTTGAAGCTTTTGCGCTGACCTTAAGTGGACTTCATGTTTGACCTTAGCCTTCTCACTGCTTCCCTCAGCCAAACCCAACAACGAGTATTCATAATCTATTACACAACACGAACCAAAATATACATAACGTTACTACCAGAGTTGCCTAAAGGTCAAATTAAAACCACACTCATTAACAAACTATTCAAAAGGATAAAAGGGCATTCCAGTCAGTACAATTCATGTAATAAAGTTTGGTTCTTTATAATTTTCTCCGTACCGAAAGCTATGGAGGCGGCTGTTACGGCGTTGCGGAAGAGGCGAACAGGGATGTTGGTGCAGAGCTTGAGAGTTCTTGATGGGTCTTCAGAGGAAGCAATGAAGGCGGCGCCGGAACCACCGCATATGGCGGAGGCAACGACGAGGAGCCTCGTACGGGTACTCCACAGAGATCTTGCCGCCATGGAAGAAACACGCACACCCCCCCAAGGTAGTTGATCCGACAAGACTAACTAAATTTGCGTTAAATATGTTTTGTCGTAAGAGCGACTGGAGTCTTGCTTGTTTTTTGGCTTTTGTTATTGGGTCATTAATGGGCCTGACGTTTGGCAGATTATGCGCGTTGTGTCTATTCAGTTCAGAGAGGTTTAGGCATAAACCGGTTTCATGGACCGGGTTAGAATTATAATTTTTGGATGATTTAAATTGGATTTTGTGGATTCGTCCATTAAATATACCGGTTTTCATGGACTAAACAAGATAGGATAGCGAATTAACACACGGTATATTCCGGGTTAGAATTATAATTTTGGATGATTTCAGAGTGGATTTTGTGGCTTCGTCTATTAAATATACCGGTTTTCATGGACTAAACCAGATAGGATAGTGAATTAACACACGGTATATTCCGGGTTAGAATTATAATTTTGGATAATTCAGAGTGGATTTTGTGGCTTCGTCTATTAAATATACCGGTTTTCATGGACTAAACCAGATAGGATAGCGAATTAACACACGGTATATTATTATTTTTTAAAATATATATGTTCATGGATTTTATTCAGTTTACTAAATAATAATGACTTCTTAGAAAATTGATGGTAATATATTCTATTCTATGATTTATTGTATATCAAACTATCAACAAAATACAAGAAAAAAGTTTTTTTCTTCTAAGTTCTGGTTTATTTTATTCGGCTTATTTATATAATCATTAAAACAATTTTGGTTAGAAGATGACTAAAACAATATTATAGCTAGAAATATCAAAACTATTTATTAAATTGTTTAAATAATTAAGGTCAGGTACATCACTAGAACAAGTTGAAATGTCTAACTAGTACATTTAGTCATAAGGTCAGGTACATCACTAGAACAATTTGAAATGTCTAATTAGTACATTAAATAAAGAAATTGAGGAAAATAGTTTGAAAAGTTTGTTTCTTTTCTAGATATCTTTAAAACGTTTTAAAAATGTTCAGGTTGCTAATAGTGCCACTAATTATGGAGTTGGTGTATATATTCAGATAAAACTTTATAGAAGGTGCATGTCTTTGGTAAGTTGAGATGTCTTGACTTGGGAATGTTTTAAAAACCGGACCGGATACCGACTCGGTATATTACTAGGTGACTGGTCGGACCGGTTCAACCGGTCGAGCCGGGTTTTTTGTTTATTATATATAATCGCATATATATTAATGTATAATGACTAATATCTAGAAATATTATCATAAAATTGAAAAACTAACAGAATCTTGACGACATGAAGAACTAAATAAAAACATGGCAAATTTAAAAAACAAATTGTTGGAAATATCAAAAACTTAACAAAGGAAATGTTAAAATGTATAAGTTAAATAATGGACAGCATGGTCAAAGAAACCTATAATTCAAGTTCAAGGTTTCCGACGTCACGGCTTTTCTATCTTTTTTGGTTTTATTCGATAAGTGCATTCTTAAGTTAATCATAAACTGGTTTAGCTTCTCCACTTTCTTCCACTACCTAGAATTCCATTTAATCAATGGATTCATAATCAATTGAATCATATGACTTCTTACGTTTTGAGAACCTGAATATGTGAACATTTAAAAGTTATCTTTTATAAATTCACAGCCATATATTTTAACTTTAGCTCACCTATCTTTTAGACGCAAACTGCAATGAACATTACGTAAAATTTTCATCATATTCTTGTATTTTGTAAAACCGGGTTTCAGTGTTCAACCGGGTCACCGGTTTTTCTGGTTTTAAGCCGGGTTTTCCGGTTTTGATCAATCCCGAGTTTTGGACCAAACCGGACTCGTCTTGTCTAAAGAGTCACGGTCCAACCGGTCGGACCGGCCGGTCCGGTCCGGTTTTCAAAACCTACTTCCGGTCAGTTTTGTAGGCCTAAACTCTTGACTTTCAATGCCGTCGTATTTGTAATTTCTTTCTTTGTCTTTAGTTATTTTTATTCATGCAAATTCATTATTTGGTTGGTCCTACGTTCATAGTTTTCAACTTCATGCCCATGTTATGCTCATGCATAGTGAAGTATCATCACGTTATATATTTATATATTGAGCCGTAAATCTGAACGTCGCTATACAAGAAACAAACAAACGTCTATAACATACAACATCAGGTTACTAAATTGGCAATGTAATTTGATAAACAATTTTTTTTAAACCTTGAAATATTCTAAGTCTATGAAAAAGTTCAGACTAATCTCTAAAAAAACGGATAGATCATAATTTTGGATATTCAAATAGATCATAAAATAGGTTTACATGCATGTGGTCACAAAATAAGATATAGTGAGATGCTTTTGATCCAAGTTGTTTAGCAAGTTCCAAAATTCGTTTACTACTAGACTATCATCTTGTGGAGCACAAAGATGAGAAAAAAAGAAAAGGAAGTTTGATGAGAAAAAAACCAATCATGTAATTCTTTCCTGCCTTTTATTTGGTAGCATTAGACGAGAAAAACGTTGAAGATCTCAATCAACACAGGTATAGAAAATAGCTTTGAGATACGTTCGGCCAATAAAACGCCATGTGGTCACATGTAAGCTAAATTCGGTCGGTTCCTCCATTCCCGTTTATGTTTGTGTTGACGAGTCTCAGTTCATTTTATTCGGCGGTCGAGGATGGGACTACTTTTATTTTTATAATAAACGAGTAATAACAATTTTTATTTAAAAAAATATAATTATTGTGACACTTCTAAAGTATTCAACTACATTTTGGTTTTACTTTTTACAAATGAAAACAAGAGAAAATTACGAGAAGTTCCAACTATTGAGAAACTTCTATGCTTCCCAATATTTAGGTATTTGCCGTTGTTATAACTGAACATTAAAAACTCTACGATTTCATTTTAATACAAGTCATAGTCAGCACTTGATAATCACTAGTCAAAGGACTCCATGACCAGGAAGTTTCTTTCAGCATTTTGGTTTTGGTCTATGATGTTCTAACGTATCGCTTTTTGATTCGTCACATATAAAATATTACCACAAGGTCCACAACATACATATATAGATAGGCAGGACCGGTCCTGAAACATGTCTAATGAAACATTTGCCTCAAGTCTCCAAATATTTTAAAAAAAAATTATATGAATATATGCCCCTAAATCTCAAGGCCGACCCTGTATATAGGAAACTAAAAATTTCATACTAGCCCACATATCATCTGTTCATAGTAATTCTTCATGTTTAAGAAAAAACTTCCTACTATAATTTTTCATGATATGTTTTTATTTAGGAAACTTTACCATGTAGTTTTATGCTTTTCTTTTTCATGGTATTTTAGTAACATACCATCCAACTATCTTTTGACATCAGATGGAAAACATTTTCAAATTCGGATCAGCCATTATGATAGTAAGCAATTCTGTAATACTAATTTCATTTTTCCAGATATGTCCAAATCAACCGATCAGCAAATAGAACATACAAAAGTATTACGATTTTTTTTTTTTACCGTATAATTTTATGATAGTGTATTTATCTAGCAAACTTTACCATAATTTCATGGTAGATAATCAGATAACTCTATATTCATTTTAGTATTTTACAAAGTCCAAGCTAATCCGATAACTCTATATTCATTTTAAAAAATTCCAAAAGTCCAACGAGAAAATCACTATTATATAAATGAATAAAACATACTAGTATATATCTGAGCATCATCCTCGACGTCATCGTCACTCTGTATCCTCCACCTTTTAAAACCCCCTCAAAAGTCTCCGAACACCTCTCTCTCTCTCAAAACAAATCCTCTCTCTCACAGTGATCTGATTCGATATGGGTTTTAGCAAAGAAGAGATTAGCAAGAGCACAAGGTTCTGGTCTTCTCCTCTATGGAGAGGCCTCAAAACTGTATTCGTTTTGTTCACAATGTTCCTCTCTTTTCTCCTCGTCTCTGCTCCGATCTTCCTCGCCGTCGCAGACGCTCTCCTCCCTTCCGCCCTCCTCCACCGCCTCTCCTCGCCAACGAATCTCTCTTCTCATCTCACCAACTATGATTTCCGTCACTCACTCATCGATATTCCGTTAATATCCATCGTTAGATCCGCCGTTATACTCTGTAAGTAAAAAAAAATGCAAACTTTTCAAGTGCCCATGACTCTGTTTTTAAATACTCTGTTTCTTAATACTCTGTTTCGAGCACTCTGTTTCTCAATACTCTGTTTCATTCATCTTATTCGTAAAGTTCGAGACTTTTTTGGAACATAAAAACTGAAAAGTCTTGGGCTTTGTTGATTCTTCGTGTAATAGGTGTTTACGGGCTTTGCGACGGACCCAAGTTATCGAGAGGTCCGTATCTGACAATAACGATGATTTGCTCTGTTTCCTCTCTGATCTACGTTTCGTTAAAAGCTGCTTTCGTGTTCGGCGAGCCGGTGAACGGAGACGGTGGAGGTAGTTACTTCAGAGCTGCGGAAGTGGCTCTGTTTCTCTGCTCCTCGGTTCTAGCCATCGGTCATATAGTTGTGGCGTATAGAACAAGTTGTAAAGAGAGGAGAAAGCTCCTCGTCTTCAAGATCGACATTGAAGCCGTAAGTACACTTCCTCTTCTTCTTCCACAGCCGTTACAGATTTTTATTATTTTATTGTTATTGATTACACTGAAAGATAGGGCCAATAATAATACCAAGTTGCATGATTTTCAAATCTAGGATGAATTATTTAGATTTTTACCTGCGCTATGATGTGAATCCTAATCAGACTAGTCAGAGATAGCATGTGGTTGCAATAGTCAAATGTTTTTAGAGTATTTTTGAAAATAACATTGACTCATTTGGCCCTTATTGGATTCTAGAAACTGGAGGATAACATAATAAATTAATAGCCTTTTTAAAAAAAAATTGAATCAGTTTAGTATGACTTTTGATGTCAAAGAAAACTCGAAATTAGTAAGAAATATTATACAATTTGATAAAAATAACAAGTTTATAAAAATTATAGTTTATAATTTCATTAATATTAAATTGATGATATGTGTATATAGAAATTACATAAAAATATTTCTAAAATGTTATTTTTTGTTAAAACGCCAAAATATTTTTATTTATTGTTTCTTTTAAATGAAATTCATTTTAAATCTTACTATTATTTTTGTTGAATTGCATTTAAAAACTTTACTCATATTTTAGGATATGTGTATTTGACATACAATATATATTGTATATTCAATGAATAAATGAAATAAGAAACAAAAATTAAATATTTAATATTTAATTAAAATATAACTATGTATACAAATATTTAATATACAATTTAGAAAATATCACATTTTTATATTGTTTATTTTATCAAGTTTTACTTTACTTATTTAAAAGGTTTTAATTTTTCACTCTGGTCAAAATAAGACTCACTAAAAGAAAACAAAAATGAAATTGAATTAGACTTTCTTTTAAAATATAGGTTAGAATCTCATGTGAAAACCGTGGACAACGCTATGTAACCTAATTTTCTTTGTCTTCTTTTTCTTAATCAAAATTAATTATATATAATCCGACATGACACCTCACACCTGACGCATGCTTCATGATTTATTCTCATAGAGACAATATTCACAATCTCCTTTTCATACTCATAATAAAACACTTATCAAGTTGTATTACTAAATATTCCATGGGAAACAAAGATGCTCATGTGTGTTTTGATTATCCATTATATCAGGTTTCGGCATGTAAAAACGTATACCCGAGATACCAAAAGATCCTCCAACAAGAGAGGCTCAAATAGAGACGTATTTCAAGAGAATCAATGTTACTTGTACATATACATGACACGTACCCTTATATACGCTTGGAAATATTAAAAAGATACGACGTATGAATGTAGCTTCCTCTTCTGCCTTTCGGTGTTGACCCATCAACTCCTTCGCTTTCAAATTTTCAGGTAACCAACTCAACCTCATCCTCTTTTCGTTTTAATGCTTACGTAATATTACTCATATAACTTTTCTTTTGGATAAGGATGATCTCTTTTAGGGTTCATATATAATGGATATAACCAACTTGCAAGCCGTTTTGCTTATAATGTTGTTTACCAATCTTTCTTTTTTATTTTGTTAACAGGCAGATCCAAAGGATAGTCTGTAAAGGCGGAATGAACAGATAGAGAGTGGAGCTAACATCAACGAATGATCTTCTATTTTTATTTTAATGTAAGACAACTCCGATGAAATGGCAGTTGTTAGCTTTAATACTTTAGGTTAGTTAGGAAGATTTGTATATAATATAGTTTTGTTTATTTTGTACTAACCTAGAGTTCACCAATGAGGAAAGAAGCCCAAGGCATCTTTTTATTTCTCTCGTCTCTTTGTATGTTGTTTGGAACTTTTTGGTTTTAATATGTGTTTTGCAATTGTAGTTAAGTAACGATAAGAAAATATGGGTTTGTCCGCGTGATTGCCTTAATGCGTCATCAAGTTTCTAGAATAATCGTAAAGCAACCTTTTGACGACGTATACTTATTTTACACCCTAGATATTTACATTATTTATAGGTATCTCAAATATTTTATTTTCTATCAACAAAATATGATCTCCAACTATTCATTAATAACTGAATAAAAAAGTCCTCATGAAACTTACTTTTCTGAATCCTTATCGTTATTCTAACATCCTGTTCCAAAAGACAATGTCATTTCTAAAACCAACTTTACTGAGTACAGTGAAAATGGACACGATTCGGTATTTGATGTGTTAGGGTACTCTCTCAGTCTCAGTTGAGAGAAAACTTCAACCAACGGGTACCAAAATCTTTATTTTTGTATAATCTACTAAAGAGATCAACAGAAACAAAGTAAAAACCTTAAATAGAGACATTGTTTACTTTTCGCTATGTAGTCATCACCGGTTCTCTTCTCTGCAGCTCCCCTGTTTCAGGTATTGTCTATACAAGTCTTTATCTTTGGCTCTTTGCATGTTTACACATGATAATCTAACTATTGGCATGTTCTTAAAGGTGCCACTGTTGCCATCAAGTGCCACACTGGTTTCCAAAAAGGGATCAAAATGGGTAAAAGCTGTTACTGATGACTTCGGAGAGTTTGTTATCCGTCTTTTTCTCATCTTCACGCAATTCCTCACTTGGAAAAGTTATGTTTCATCAAACCAATATATATATGCCAAAGCACTATCATAGATGCTACAACACTACAAGAAAACACCGCAATTCTGACGGCCATTCCGAGGGAAAATGTATTCCTCGGAAATTTCCGAGGAAATTCCGAGGAAATTCCGAGGAAACACAAATTTAAGGTTTCCTCGGAATTTCCTCGGAATATACCGATGGAATTCCGAGGAAACCCGGTTCCTCGGAAAAAACTGACGAAATTCCGAGGAAATTCCG